AAGGGTTAAAACTAGGGATTCACCGAAATTTCAACCGCTGAAACAATTCGGCCGAAAAATGGTACTTTGGGTAAAATGCCATTTTCCGCCGATATAAAATCGGTGCATCCCTAAATATAATGGGTAGTAATATAGACTCAAAGCTGGCACAAATCAGCTGGGATGATTTGCTGTGTGGGGTGAAGCCAAAATGAGTGGATCCGCAAAACTACAGCAGGCAGACTGACCTACTCTGCAAACAGGAAGGAGGAGGTGAATGGAATTCATATGCGAGGTTCAGCCAAACAGCAGGAGGTAAGAATCCAGAATGACGTTTGCTCAAACCCTTGTGATGTTACTGACCTAGAGATCATGGAACTTCCACAACAAGAGCGGAGTTACCATTTAACATCTACTTTCTTTTTCTTGCTCCTTACCAAAGTCACACTTTACAAGCTTACTATTTTACATCGGACAGGATTTAATAAGCAGAATGAAGATTCTCCTTGTGACTGGGATCTGTATGTCAGGGAATACGTCCTCCGATATATCTGATTATGACTGAAAGTGAAAGAAAATTCCAAATTTTGGGCTGTCATCAGAACAGAATAGATGGGAAATCTTCCAATGAGGACACTAGTTCTGGTGACCCTGCTGACGACCAAGGATTTTCCTCCCTTTTGAAGAATTTCCTCACTTCCTGTTGTGGTAATCGGACAGGAAGTGAAAGGTAATCTCCCCAATGGGACACAGCTCAAGATCAGATTAACAGTAAACTTAACAGAGTAGTAATACTGCAACTGTAGACAAACCCCATTCAATTTACCATTAGGGCTCGTTCACACCAACTGCATTGACTGGTGTTTTTCCACTATTGTTTTCCATTTCCTCCGTTGGTGTAATGCACAGTGTGGTGCAGAATACAGGATAGATGGTACCAGAGGTCAGCACGCTACAACATAGCACACCGAGCTGCTGCACAGAGACCCGACTGTATACTTTGTACGCTGCCAATAAAGTTATTTTTTTTTAAATAGTACCTTGCATTGTAACAAAGCAAGGCACCAGCTGCATGCTAGAACAGAATATTTTGGCACGGGGCTGGCATGAACCAGCCCTTAGAATGGTAATGCATTTTTTTTGAGCTACCAGGCATTGGATTCCTGGGTGGAGAAACGTTCAGCACCAATGAACTGTACTATGTGCTATAATGACATTGAAGGTCATGGGAGGTAAATCTATATTCCTGAAAGTTTCAGGAGCCAGCGATTCTTCTTCAATGGAGCAGTTTTCATTGGCGGCAGGGAGACGTAATCGTATATATATATATATATTTTATGCTTCATTGACATATTATGAAATTGGGACTTGAAGTCAGGCAACAGGGTCACTTTAAAAAGACTTATTCATTCAGACCCTCTCCCTCCTATGCTGACCTCTTGTCTATTGGCGTGGTTCTGCTCATCTTTGCACGCTGCGCACTTATCCACTAAACCTGATTTCAGTTATCACACAGAAAAGTCTCAGTGCTGATGGACAATGCTCCAAATCCTACGTAGATAATTCAGCACACAAAGAATCACGCTGTAAACTACTCAACCGCTAAACTTACTAACCCTTGTGGTTGGGCTACTCCCGCACTGCAAGGGAAAACTGTTAGTTTGTGTCTAGGTGCTTAAATAATACTCGCCTGAAGCTCGGAGCCGACCAGCTGTCAGAGTGCTCCCTCCAGTGTCTCCCCCTGACTGCAGCATTGGAATCTTCCCAAGCGTCCTCCTGTCTATGCACGGTGTACAGACGTGATGATTTACAGGACCTTTTACAGACTGCTGCAGAAGAGGGGAAGAGAAACTGGGAGGACCAGTGTACGAAGTAGTCGGCTCGGAGTTTCGGGTAAGTTAACTTTTTTTTTTTTAACCTAGACACAAACAAGCACTTACCCCTTACCGGGGAGGGGGAGGGTGGTCCTCTTTAAACTGAGCTTTTGGTAATGTAATGCAAATTTCAGGAAGCTCCCACATGTGCTTCCAGGCAGGTCTGTAGTTGATGGCTTGCCGGGCTGCTGTGAAAACTTCCATCTCTGTGAGTGACAGAAAGAAGTTCACAATAGGCAAGGAAATGGGAATACTGGATATGCATATTCACTTGTCTCATGAGCTACTGTTCCCACGACGCTAAATTACTGGCAACAAGGCAACTGTTGGAGTGGCCTAAGGCAATACAAACTGTGGGTAGAACGCCTGTGTTCCCTTTATGCATTTTAAGGCTTTGCTTTGTGTATTGTAGTGATCCCAAACTTGACATGACAATGCAGGGGTGGACAAATTAACATGGAACTCAGGAGCTAGTCTATCCAAGTCCAGCAGGAGTTTTTTTTGTTTTGTTTTTGTTGTTAGGAGCCAGCACCATTGACAATTAAAAAGAAAAAAAAACCCCTCAAAAGTTAGGTGCCAGTTATAATTTTTAAAGAGCACTGACTACCTGGCTCCTAGTGTTATACATTACTGTCATCTTTAATCAGGACATTATTGAGCATTGAAAAACCCTAAAGGGTAACCGCAAAATTCTGGGGTGGTGCCGCAGAAAATGTTCTCATTGCTTGGGCATACGTATGAATATTGGTAATCACAGAGCGGAAAATGGACAGTACATTACCATGTGGTGCACCACAACATGTGTGTGGGATTATTACAGTGATGTGCCGTGCCTTCTGTGCTGGGTGAGGCAACCCTTTTTTTTTTTGATTGGACAGCTTGGACCAATGGCGCTTTGCCCTTGGTGCAAGCCATCCACAGAGTAGAGGCTGTGACAGCTCTTGCCTCACTATGTTAGGTTACACAAGCAGTGGGGAAGCCTGCTTCTGTGTAACCTAACTACCTGTCAAAAGCCGGATGCAGGACCGCCTGTAATTAACAGGCAGCATTCCAGCCATGACAGGTTACACATAGGGGAGGATTTCCTTGCTGTGTAACCAGTTACAAGTCGATCTGAATGGAGAAAAAGATGTACTCTTCAGACTTGAAGCTGACAGCTTTTCACTCCATAATACTAGGTGAGGCTCTGCCCCACCTGACCGCACGTCCCTGGTGGGATACCCCTGAAAATAAATGGCACCAGGAATGCCTGCAAGTTCTGAACAAATAGGTGTAAATGGACCCTAAAACAAAGTTTATAGTAAGGGTAATTCCTATTCTCATTCCCCTGTATTGTTTGGTAGCGTCTGCTACCCTTCTGAAAACCTGCCCTCAACTTATACATAACCTATCCATTACCAGTGACACCAGCAAAGTGCGATGGTCATTCGCGGCCTTCTGGTAAGAAAGCTTTGGACTAAGTTCTGCTGTACATTGTACACCAGGGGTGGACAAAATAAGGACATTCAGGAGGCAGTCTGTCCAATCAAGGAAACCAGCAGGATTTTCTTTTTAGGAGCCAGCTGTGTGTTTTAACCGCTTGAAGACCAGGTGTTTAGACCCCCTTCCTGGCCAGGCCATTTTTCAGTGTTCAGCGCTGCAGTACTTTGACTGACATTTATTCCGTCACGCAACGCTGTACTGAAATGAATTTTATACCATTTTTTGGGGACAGATAGGGCTTTATTTTGGTGGTATTTAATCACCACTGCGGGTTTTATTTTTTACTATATTCAGGAGAAATTACTGAAATTTTTTTTTTACATTATGCTATAAAACAACTAATATTACCCACTTTTTTGGTAAAATATAAAAGACGGGGTCACGTCAAGTAAATAGACACCAAACATGTCAAGCGTAAAAATTGCGCGCACTCGCAAAAAACTAGCATACCCAAAATTGGCCATAGGCGACGCTTTAAAAGCTTTTACCGCTCATCAGTTTAGTGTTATCAGTGATTGATGGCCCTAGAACTATTGCTCTCATTCCGACGTTCGCGGCGATATGTAACATGTGCGGCGTAATGGGTGCAATCGTCGTTTTCGCAGGTATGCGCACCTTACGCATGTTTACATGCGTGTATGTAGGGGTGGGGACCTTAAAAAAAAAATTGTTTTTTTTAATTCTTTTTTGTGTAATTTTTACTTTTTTTTTTCACTTAACTTTATTGCTATCACAGAGGGGGCTGAGAAACCCCCTTATGTGATAGCAAAAGAGGTGACAGGTCCTCTTTATGGAGACATCAGGGGATAATTGGATTGAGATCTGGAGAATTTGAAGGCAAAGTAAACACCTCAAACTCACTGTTGTGTTCCTCAAACCATTCGAGAACCATATCCTGCTGAAAGAGGCCACTGCTATGAGGGAATACCATTTCCATGAAGGGGTGTACTTGGTCAGCAACAATGTTTAAAGTAGGTGGTATGTGTCAAAGCAACATTCGCTTGAATGGCAGGACCCAAAGTTTCCCAGCAGAACATTGCCCAGAGCATCACACTTTCTCTGCCAGCTTGCCTTTTCCCATGGTGTATCCTGGTGTCATCTCTTCCCGGGTAAGCGGCACAGATGCACCTGGCCATACACCATATGTAAAAGAAACCACAATTTATCTGATGAGGACACCTTCTTCCACTGTACAGTGATCCAGTTCTGATGCTCATGTGCCCATTGTTGGCGCCCTTTCAGGAATTCGAGCTACAGTAGTTCTTCTATTGGAACGGAATATATGGTCCTAATGAAAGATTCAGATGTCAAATGATCAAAAATGACATTACCATGTTGAAGCCAAAGTGAGATTTTAGTGATTGACTTTGCATGTAGTTTAACCGTTTCACTGCGGAATAACTGGAAACCATTGAAATGTTGCTCTGCCGAACACTGTGTGTATCACGCACAATGCAGACTTTACATCTGACCACTCAAGTTATATCCAGGCTTGGAAATTATGTCATAACGAGATTTGAGAGCGATACCATGGCAACACTTCCTGTATACTCCATCCAATTTTAATACAAACTGCTGTAGCCTTGCTGGACTTGGCATTTATTCTATAAAACTCAGCGTGTAGAGAACAAATAGGTAGACGATACCGCTGCCAGATAAATGGGGTCTCTAGTTATGTCACCGTTAAAAAGTCACTTCAAAGTGAAAGGAAAGCAAAAATGGAAGGGAAAAGTAGGGAAGGGTTAAAACTAGGGATTCACCGAAATTTCAACCGCTGAAACAATTCGGCCGAAAAATGGTACTTTGGGTAAAATGCCATTTTCCGCCGATATAAAATCGGTGCATCCCTAAATATAATGGGTAGTAATATAGACTCAAAGCTGGCACAAATCAGCTGGGATGATTTGCTGTGTGGGGTGAAGCCAAAATGAGTGGATCCGCAAAACTACAGCAGGCAGACTGACCTACTCTGCAAACAGGAAGGAGGAGGTGAATGGAATTCATATGCGAGGTTCAGCCAAACAGCAGGAGGTAAGAATCCAGAATGACGTTTGCTCAAACCCTTGTGATGTTACTGACCTAGAGATCATGGAACTTCCACAACAAGAGCGGAGTTACCATTTAACATCTACTTTCTTTTTCTTGCTCCTTACCAAAGTCACACTTTACAAGCTTACTATTTTACATCGGACAGGATTTAATAAGCAGAATGAAGATTCTCCTTGTGACTGGGATCTGTATGTCAGGGAATACGTCCTCCGATATATCTGATTATGACTGAAAGTGAAAGAAAATTCCAAATTTTGGGCTGTCATCAGAACAGAATAGATGGGAAATCTTCCAATGAGGACACTAGTTCTGGTGACCCTGCTGACGACCAAGGATTTTCCTCCCTTTTGAAGAATTTCCTCACTTCCTGTTGTGGTAATCGGACAGGAAGTGAAAGGTAATCTCCCCAATGGGACACAGCTCAAGATCAGATTAACAGTAAACTTAACAGAGTAGTAATACTGCAACTGTAGACAAACCCCATTCAATTTACCATTAGGGCTCGTTCACACCAACTGCATTGACTGGTGTTTTTCCACTATTGTTTTCCATTTCCTCCGTTGGTGTAATGCACAGTGTGGTGCAGAATACAGGATAGATGGTACCAGAGGTCAGCACGCTACAACATAGCACACCGAGCTGCTGCACAGAGACCCGACTGTATACTTTGTACGCTGCCAATAAAGTTATTTTTTTTTAAATAGTACCTTGCATTGTAACAAAGCAAGGCACCAGCTGCATGCTAGAACAGAATATTTTGGCACGGGGCTGGCATGAACCAGCCCTTAGAATGGTAATGCATTTTTTTTGAGCTACCAGGCATTGGATTCCTGGGTGGAGAAACGTTCAGCACCAATGAACTGTACTATGTGCTATAATGACATTGAAGGTCATGGGAGGTAAATCTATATTCCTGAAAGTTTCAGGAGCCAGCGATTCTTCTTCAATGGAGCAGTTTTCATTGGCGGCAGGGAGACGTAATCGTATATATATATATATATTTTATGCTTCATTGACATATTATGAAATTGGGACTTGAAGTCAGGCAACAGGGTCACTTTAAAAAGACTTATTCATTCAGACCCTCTCCCTCCTATGCTGACCTCTTGTCTATTGGCGTGGTTCTGCTCATCTTTGCACGCTGCGCACTTATCCACTAAACCTGATTTCAGTTATCACACAGAAAAGTCTCAGTGCTGATGGACAATGCTCCAAATCCTACGTAGATAATTCAGCACACAAAGAATCACGCTGTAAACTACTCAACCGCTAAACTTACTAACCCTTGTGGTTGGGCTACTCCCGCACTGCAAGGGAAAACTGTTAGTTTGTGTCTAGGTGCTTAAATAATACTCGCCTGAAGCTCGGAGCCGACCAGCTGTCAGAGTGCTCCCTCCAGTGTCTCCCCCTGACTGCAGCATTGGAATCTTCCCAAGCGTCCTCCTGTCTATGCACGGTGTACAGACGTGATGATTTACAGGACCTTTTACAGACTGCTGCAGAAGAGGGGAAGAGAAACTGGGAGGACCAGTGTACGAAGTAGTCGGCTCGGAGTTTCGGGTAAGTTAACTTTTTTTTTTTTAACCTAGACACAAACAAGCACTTACCCCTTACCGGGGAGGGGGAGGGTGGTCCTCTTTAAACTGAGCTTTTGGTAATGTAATGCAAATTTCAGGAAGCTCCCACATGTGCTTCCAGGCAGGTCTGTAGTTGATGGCTTGCCGGGCTGCTGTGAAAACTTCCATCTCTGTGAGTGACAGAAAGAAGTTCACAATAGGCAAGGAAATGGGAATACTGGATATGCATATTCACTTGTCTCATGAGCTACTGTTCCCACGACGCTAAATTACTGGCAACAAGGCAACTGTTGGAGTGGCCTAAGGCAATACAAACTGTGGGTAGAACGCCTGTGTTCCCTTTATGCATTTTAAGGCTTTGCTTTGTGTATTGTAGTGATCCCAAACTTGACATGACAATGCAGGGGTGGACAAATTAACATGGAACTCAGGAGCTAGTCTATCCAAGTCCAGCAGGAGTTTTTTTTGTTTTGTTTTTGTTGTTAGGAGCCAGCACCATTGACAATTAAAAAGAAAAAAAAACCCCTCAAAAGTTAGGTGCCAGTTATAATTTTTAAAGAGCACTGACTACCTGGCTCCTAGTGTTATACATTACTGTCATCTTTAATCAGGACATTATTGAGCATTGAAAAACCCTAAAGGGTAACCGCAAAATTCTGGGGTGGTGCCGCAGAAAATGTTCTCATTGCTTGGGCATACGTATGAATATTGGTAATCACAGAGCGGAAAATGGACAGTACATTACCATGTGGTGCACCACAACATGTGTGTGGGATTATTACAGTGATGTGCCGTGCCTTCTGTGCTGGGTGAGGCAACCCTTTTTTTTTTTGATTGGACAGCTTGGACCAATGGCGCTTTGCCCTTGGTGCAAGCCATCCACAGAGTAGAGGCTGTGACAGCTCTTGCCTCACTATGTTAGGTTACACAAGCAGTGGGGAAGCCTGCTTCTGTGTAACCTAACTACCTGTCAAAAGCCGGATGCAGGACCGCCTGTAATTAACAGGCAGCATTCCAGCCATGACAGGTTACACATAGGGGAGGATTTCCTTGCTGTGTAACCAGTTACAAGTCGATCTGAATGGAGAAAAAGATGTACTCTTCAGACTTGAAGCTGACAGCTTTTCACTCCATAATACTAGGTGAGGCTCTGCCCCACCTGACCGCACGTCCCTGGTGGGATACCCCTGAAAATAAATGGCACCAGGAATGCCTGCAAGTTCTGAACAAATAGGTGTAAATGGACCCTAAAACAAAGTTTATAGTAAGGGTAATTCCTATTCTCATTCCCCTGTATTGTTTGGTAGCGTCTGCTACCCTTCTGAAAACCTGCCCTCAACTTATACATAACCTATCCATTACCAGTGACACCAGCAAAGTGCGATGGTCATTCGCGGCCTTCTGGTAAGAAAGCTTTGGACTAAGTTCTGCTGTACATTGTACACCAGGGGTGGACAAAATAAGGACATTCAGGAGGCAGTCTGTCCAATCAAGGAAACCAGCAGGATTTTCTTTTTAGGAGCCAGCTGTGTGTTTTAACCGCTTGAAGACCAGGTGTTTAGACCCCCTTCCTGGCCAGGCCATTTTTCAGTGTTCAGCGCTGCAGTACTTTGACTGACATTTATTCCGTCACGCAACGCTGTACTGAAATGAATTTTATACCATTTTTTGGGGACAGATAGAGCTTTCTTTTGGTGGTATTTAATCACCACTGCGGGTTTTATTTTTTACTATATTCAGGAGAAATTACTGAAAATTTTGAGAAAAAAAAGTTTTTTTTTACATTATGCTATAAAACAACTAATATTACCCACTTTTTTGGTAAAATATAAAAGACGGGGTCACGTCGGGTAAATAGACACCAAACATGTCAAGCGTAAAAATTGCGCGCACTCGCAAAATCGCAAAAAACTAGCATACCCAAAATTGGCCATAGGCGACGCTTTAAAAGCTTTTACCGCTCATCAGTTTAGTGTTATCAGTGATTGATGGCCCTAGAACTATTGCTCTCATTCCGACGTTCGCGGCGATATGTAACATGTGCGGCGTAATGGGTGCAATCGTCGTTTTCGCAGGTATGCGCACCTTACGCATGTTTACATGCGTGTATGTAGGGGTGGGGACCTTAAAAAAAAAATTGTTTTTTTTAATTCTTTTTTGTGTAATTTTTACTTTTTTTTTTCACTTAACTTTATTGCTATCACAGAGGGGGCTGAGAAACCCCCTTATGTGATAGCAAAATAGCGGGGATTTCCCGCGCGCGCGCGCCGGGCGGGTGTAACAGGACGTGTATACACGCCCAGTTACATCCAAGAAGCTCCCGGCAGGCCGTGTATACACAGCGGCTGGCCGGGAGGTAGTTAAAGAGCATTGGTGACCTGGCTCCTGGGATTTACCCAGCCATGTTGTACCAACAACCAATTTGTAAGAGCAGTTCCATTCACTGGCATCCCAATTTCCAGCGTGGACGGATTGGTAACGGGCATGCACTTATCACCCACATCTGAGGGCACATCAGGGAATGTAGTCCAGGTACAGGTGTAATATTGCAGCACAGGAACACTCCTATGCTGGCTGGAATGATTCCGCCCCAACATGTGCAATGCATCATGAATGGCAGCTTTGAAGGAGGATGGAACGCTATTTACTCAGCTTATTTTAGACCTCCAATAACATAACTGCACACAAGAGATCAAGCAATAACGTGACCTTTATTTGGAGCTTGGTGTTCTACTTTCTTGTCTTTGAATGACAGCTTTTTCATATATCCAGGCCAGAATAACACTGATCATCTATCTGGTTTGCAACAGTAATGCACAAAGCAAGGGAAAACCATGATCAAAGCCAAGTCTGTGGGGCGCACAACTGACAGTCATCTGCGAGGCTCTCCCCACAAAGAACTGACGCATTTCCTGACAGCTCAGAAGACAGGCTTTGTAACCAGAGACTCTACAACAGACCCTACACACAATCCTCCAACAGGTAATGATACAGAGACTCTGCCGGTCTTTTTCATACGAGAAGAAATTACAAGATCAAAACAAGGATGCCGTGACAGCATGCTATGCAAATTCCCCGGGAGTCTGACAAATCTAAAATGCAGAGATAATTAGATGTTGCGGGACTCTTCACACTAATAGAAAAAAAACACACAGTGCATGCCTAATTGCCACCAAGCCCGATCAGAGCAAGACATGCTACACAATTTTACTTGTACTTATCACATAGAAAAAAAAAAGGTCATAATATAAACACAAAGAAGAATTAGGCCGAATGACACCACTTCTTCGTCATCCCCAGGGCAACAGACAATCCACATTGATGGCCAATTATATAATCACGTGTTCTACTACGGCCTTGATG